CAGTGACAATAAAGCAAGTGGCACAGAGAGTGTGCCAAAATATAGCTCTATAATAACAGGACTGTGGTCTAGAGGGTAAGAGTCTGAATAAATACAAAAAACAGAAGGGAGCACTGATACACTAGCGATGGTCTGTGGAGAGCCCTTACTGCTGAGAGTAATGATAGATGGATCAGATGACTGTGAACAGCTCCGAACGACTGTGCAGAGGTCTAAATGGAAAGTCGGCACCTGACAAATGGCTGAGATCGCCAAATAGATTGGGATCGTTCAATCCTAAGTGTGCCAAATGGTCAAAGAATACTGAAAAGCTGTGAAAAGTGGGGTATTGGTGCCTAGAGCATACCCATGCTCATTAGCGCACCTGTGGTCCAGAGGGTAAGAGTCTGAGGAAAGAATTGCTCTCGGACCACAGGTATTTAAGCTATACAGAACAATAAGAAACAAAAAAGGAAGGTATAACATCAATGGGTCACTACAGATGGTCCACTTTACAAAGCAGTCAAAAGCTCCGCCTGTAGGTCAATCTGGAGTGTCAATGACATTATACAGGACCACCTAAGTTAGCCAATCCAGTGAAACAATGAAAACAAAGTAAGATAAGTTCAAATAGAGAAAGAAAGCAATATACCCACTCTGGGAGTGGCTATAGAGCCGCTCCCAGCTGTAAAGGTGAGTCATCAATGAGTCCACATTGTGGCATGTATGTGGCACACATTCCACATCAACTAGAATGGCCACAAACAACATATCTTTCTTCTGAAGTTCAATTCTGAGCTTAATCCCATTGAGATGGTCAGTTTCTTCAGTCTTTTTTGTTATGTTCTGCTTATGTTATCTCTAAATAGACGGCAACAGTAGGGGTCCAGTGGCAACTAGCCATTGGCTAATCCCACGTGATAACCCACATTATACCACTGCCTCATAGGCTTTGGGAGGTAAAACGGAGTGTGTCAGAGTTTGAAACAGAGTTAGTTAGCATATGCCCAGGGCTACTGCGAGCCTTGCGATACCCAATCTCTGTCATCAACCATCATCATATCTATCCTGGACCCTCATCTGTGCTTTCCTTTGCTTTATTCCTTACTGGCTTTTCTCTCAAACTCTACTCTGCTCTACTGGGTGTCTCTGAGCACAGATTCTGCTTAGAAAAAGCCTATAGTGTTATTTGTGGCCATTCTAATAGATGTGGCATGGATGCCACATGTGTGCCACCTTATGGAATCATTGATTACTTGCCTTTACAGCTAGGAGTGGCTCTACAGCCACTCCTAGAGTGAGTATATTGCTTTCCTTCTCCATTTGGACTGTCTCACTTTGTTTTTATTGTTTCACTGGGTTGGCTGACTCAGGTGGTTCTGTGTGATATCATTGATGCTCCAGACTGAGCTACAGGTGGAGCATTTGACCGTTTTGTAAAGTGGACCACCTCTAATGACCCATTAATGTCATATCTTCCTATTTCATTTCTTATTGTTCTGTGTAGCTTAAATACCCGTAGTCTGAGGACAATTCTTTCCTCAGACTTTTACCCTCTGGACCATAAGTGTGCTCTCTTCTGTTTTTTGTATTTAGCTTAGACTCTTACCCTCTGGACCACAGTCCTGTTGTTATAGAGCTATCTTTTGGGCACTCTCTTTGTGCCACTCACTTCATTGTCACTGCGCTCAACAGGTTATGGGCCCTGCACTCTAGTGACTTTGCTCTACATTGTTTTATCAACACTTTTGGGTCTCACATCTACTCTGCCACACCTTTCTGGCCACTCTCTTTTTACTGCCACATCTTCCCCATCGCTTTTCCTCCCTTTTCTATTATCTCACATCCTTCCCTTTCCCTGCTTCTGCCACTTATCCCACACCAGGTCCAAGCCACAGCAGGCCCACTTGGTTCATGCCCCTAAAGCCTCTAGTCCCATGCAGTTTGTAGGCAATGCAATTTTTCATTCCCCTGCTCCATCTCCTTTGTCCACAGCCCCCTCATTCATCATTGACCTCCATTGGAATGCCAACATAGGTGCGACCTCTTATATGACACCTTATCGCCACTGGATTTGCAACTATCGTCCCTTTGTTGTCCCCATTCGTCTTGCAGACTCATCTGTCATCTACTCTGCTGGTGTTGGGACTGTGGTGTTCAATCCGGTCGTTGGAGGCAAGAGGATACAGTTGGTGGAGTTCTCAAATGTCCTGCATGTCCCTAATCTTGGCTGTAATCTCCTATCTGTGCTGTATTTGACTCAGCACAAGCACTTCTCTGTGCTAATAGAAGGATCTTCCATGCATTTCTCCTAGGACTAGCTTCTCACCTATTGCGTTGCGATGGCGCAACCATGCTTAATCTGAGTTTTTGTTGCAGTGCTTAGTCTGAGGTTGTGTAACAGTGCTTAATCTATGTTTGTATTATAGTGCTTAGTTTGTGATTGGGTTTTAGTCAAGCAGCCAAGTTAGAGTAGCAGTTTTATTTCAAGCATACATATAAAAAGTTAGAGTGGGGATTGAGAGTCAAAGTGTAAGAAATTTCTATATATGTTTTATACTACAGTCTTTGTTCAAGTCCTATTATAATTGTTAGCCATGTTACAATAATTATGATCTAAGACATATTATTGATTATCCAAAATGCCTTGCAATACCTCAGGATACACTATTTTGGTGGTTTTGGTGTTTTGTGAGTCTGGTGGGAATAACACCTTGATTCCATCTCCTGATGTGCAGTAAAAGCGCTTTCCTGCTGAGGGATGAACATAGTACATTCTGCCAATAGTTGAGTGTTGAATATGTGGTGTCCATGCTCTATTTTTTTGATTCCAGACATAAAAGGGAGGAAAGTCCTGATAAGTGTAAGCATGGGTAGTAGGATACTTTTGGTTGGAAATGAACCATTCAGTCAACTCTGTCTTTTGGGACTTGTTACTATTGAGAAGTTCTTCAGGATTGTCATCAGAATCAAAATAGACCTGCTGCTGATTAGGAAGATAAACAGGAAGACAATAAACTTGAAGGAAACTCCAAATGCCTTGGGAATTCAAAGATGTTCCAGCAAGCCTCCATAAGTCCAATATAGTGAGCATCCACATAGTCCTTAATCTCATCAATATCTCCAATTTCACTAGTGGCACGATCAGGACCTTTATGGATATACTTGTGAATGTATATGATGGCCTTGATAGAAGCGTAGACCTCTACATTGATGTGGCAGTTATATTTGGCAAGAAAATAGGGATTATGAGGAACAACATCACAATTGTCAAACTGCATAGTGCCTCAAGTGAAAGTGCACCCATTATTTGGTCTAGCATATGTAGGATAGCCATCTTCATCATAAAGGGTGTGCTTGTTGAGCGCAGTGACAATGAAGCAACTGGCACAGAGAAAGTGCCAAAAAGAAGCTCTATAACAACAGGACTGTGGTCCAGAGGGTAAGAGTCTAAGTAGATACAAAGAACAGAAGGGAGTGCACCTGTAGTTCAGAGGGTAAGAGTCTGAGGAAAGAATCGCCCTCAGACCACGGGTATTTAAGCTACACAGAACAATAAGAAACAAAATAGGAAGGTATGACATCAACGGGTCATTACAGATGGTCCACCTTACAAAGCAGTCAAAAGCTCCACCTGGAGCTCGGTCCGGAGTGTCAATAACATCACACAGGACTGCCTTAGCTGGCTAACCTGGTGAAACAACTGAAACAAGGTGAGACAAGGTGAAAATAAAGTGAGACAGTCCAAAAGGAGAAAGAAAGCAATATACTTGCTCTGGGAATGGCTGTAGGGCTGCTCCCGGCTGTAGAGGCGAGTAATCAATGAGTCCTAAAGGTGGCACACATGTGGCATCCATGCCACATCAACCAGAATGGCAACAAACAACAGGGCGTGAACGCTGGCAATCTGTTATGATCACATTCTGCCAGGCCTTAACGGCGGTCTATTCCAACATGATCATCACAAATATCAAGCGGCCTCACAAATTGAGGCGTACAACAAGGTACAGATAATAACCTTGGTCATCTACTCCCAACGGATCACCTTATCGTTGGTCAAGTATCACGAGCCATATTGCGATGGGCATAGAATGCCGCCTTACAAACTACTCACATACCGGGCATAAAGCTCCTAGTCTTTCCTGGCCAGAAGGAGACGAACAGAGAAGCACAAGAGTAGTCGTTATCGAGAAAGACAACTTAGAGAATACCTACAGATACATATACGGTTTTCTCACACCCTATTTCCTAAAGTAGTATAAAAGGCCCATAGAGTAGGCTGAGGATCTTTAGTCTATTCTCTTCGTTTGCTGTAGTCTTCCTACTACAGCCCTTCGTTCTTAGGCAGTTCTCGCACTGTCTACTTCATTCTAGTACTGTCTTCCTACAGTACTCCTCATTGCCATATCGCAATACATCTCTGGCTCCTGTGCTATATGTACAGTCGAGACCATCGATCCACCCTCTCTCTACAAGCAACCTAGGGAAGCACCTCCTACTCTTGGGGTTACCAAACGAGCAGTTCGTAACACTAGAATAGACTCTTCTGCCCCTACCTTGCTCGCACTAGCTTGCTGCCACACTCTCTCTCATAACCTTCCTTGGTAGGGATAATAGACTCCCATAAAGAAAGCATTACTACACACACCCTGAAGCAAGACCTAGGCTAGGAATATCCACCCGGCACTAAACGTATAAATAACCAACTCCATCACAACAACCGCCCTATCCGGCGCGAAGGGGACTTTTGGGTCTACGAAGACAATAACAGATTCGCCCCTCCGAATCACGATAACTGCTCATACCGAAATGGGTGTTATTACTTCATCCTCGAAGATAGAACAGAAGAAGAGGACATTTGGAACAAAATAGAGAGCCAGTGGGAACTAGCACCCCAATACAGGGAACCGGCGCCGGTAATCCCTGAAGACTCAGAGCAAGAAGAAACAACCTCACAATCAGACTCTGACTTATCACCAAACCAAACACCGATCAACACCCGAAACGAACCGCTCGCTGAAATGTCGGGACAAGCTTCGACTTCTACGGACCCCCCTTCCGCGACAGTACAACCCGGGAGAGGAAAAGTCAAACTCCCAGACAATTATACAGGCAACCACATTGAATCCCAGAAATTCATGCTCCAATGCCTCCTTCTTTTCGCAGCAGAATCTGACCGGTACAAGACCGATCAAGACAAGATATCCCTGGTGCTCTCATGCATGAGATATGGCACGGCAAGAGCTTGGGCTGAGAACTTCCTCCTCAAATCAGTAGGAGTGGACCCTCCCACTGATCTAGGTACCTGGATGAACTTTTTAGCCAAGTTCAAACTCCAATTCAGGGAGACGGGCAAGACCGACAAAGCGCAAAGTGCACTCATGGCCTTCTCCCAAGGACAAATGACGGTTGATGAATACTCCAACCAATTCATCCTCATTGCCGCCGATGCCAACATCTTTGACAAGGAGCAAGTCCCTTACTTCCAATATGGGTTAGACCTGTGCGTCATGGACAAAATATATGACAAGGAAGTTCAACCAAAGGACACAATCCAGGACTGGATCAACACCGCCTGTGAAATAGATGGACGGCTTAGAGCCAGAACTGCTCAAAAAGCCATCCTTGCCAACTCCACCTCCTTCCGCAATGACTACCTAAACTGTTTTCACACCCAACCCGCCATCCGCTATAACTCCACAAATGCTCCTCGGAAAATGAATAACCAGGTGGTTGACATGGACATCGACGCTACTAGAAAGTATAACACCGAAAGTCAAAAGAGAAAGTTTGACGGCAAGCGAACCACCTCTTGTTCTAACTGTGGAAAGCTAGGACACTCCAGTGCTAATTGCTGGTCGGCCCGAAGAGGTGTTCAACCAGTTTGAGGAAACTCGAAGAGACGCATGGGTACGACAGGGAGAAGAAACCATGCAGTTGATTTGGAAGGAGAAGGCGACGCACCCGCTATGGGAGACCAAGCGGGAATATATCGAGGAGTGGAGACGGAGGATGCTCATCGCAACGACCAGCGGATACCACAACCTGGTCCTTCGATGGAACATCCGTACTCTGCCCCATCCGGACGACCCCAAATGGACCATCAGCAACACGTTATGTCGCCTAACGGACGATGGGGAAACGGAGGCATCAGTCATTCTGCTTGAATCGGAGCAATGCTAGGAGAACTAGGAGAGGATGAAGCAAGAAAAGTAATCTTGGGACATGCGGAGTGTTTTTCCTAACCTCTCCTTCACCAGCAAAGGAGAGAGGTCAAGGAAGGCCCAAGTTTGACGCAGACAAATGTATTTGTATCGAAGCAATGAATGACCGCATCATTACCCCCATATGCTTAAACGTGAAGGTGTCAAACAGGTACCAATACGCTGGAGCAAAGGCAACCATCAACTCGGCATGTGAAGGGGTCATAGTAAACGAGACATGGGTCAGGAAACATCGTTTCCCCACCTACACACTCAATAACCCCATCCGCATCCGGAACGTCAATGACACTATTAATAAAGCAGGTCTCATCCAGTCCCCCTTGGATGTGAACCTCACTATTCGGGAGATCCGTGGACGAATGCACACTGAGCACGTCCAGATCTTTATCTCCAATCTAGGAAAGGACAACCTTATCCTGGGAACAGATTGGCTGAAATACTAGGATCCCTCCATCGAGTGGAGGCGATGTGAAGTGCACTTTGATTGGTGTCCCCAAAAATGCCACCAACCACATGGGTTTACTAGGGCAAGGGAAGAACCGCAAAACAATAGGCGGTTATCAGACGTGGAGCCATGGCACAAACCACGCATCAGTGAGTGCAAAAAACAGCGCTTAGAATATCTCCAAAGACTATCAGAAGATGTTGGACTCTGCGATCATAGCGGGACATTTGGTGTCCAACTACGAGCATACCTCAAAAGGAAATAGCTCTTACAGGACATAAGGAAATACGTAGAAGAGAAACAAAAGGCTCAAGTCAAGCCATCTCTTTCACCAAACGAGGGAAAACCTGATCTCCCAGATAAACCCTCAGAAAAACAGGCCATAGAGGAACCAGTTATTTGGAAACTAGCTCCCGAACCATCAGGATTTGCCAGCTTCGACTAGGATTTGGAGGACAAAATCGTCGTTACCAATCTAAAAGAAAGAGTCCCTAAGGCGCATCACGAATTTTTGGACATCTTCAGCGAATGAAAGTCGCAGTGACTCCTAGAACATACTTATTGGGACCACGCCATAGATCTGAAACTAACCTTCAAACCTCAAGTACCAAAAATCTACGCCTTGAGCCCAGAGAAACATGATGAACTAGGAAAATTCATCAAGGAACATCTCACTCGAGGGACCATCCATCGATCCACCTCGCAAACAGCAGCCCCATTTTTCTTTATAGGAAAGAAAGATGGAAAACTGCGCCCGGTACAGGACTACCGCCATTTGAACTCGTACACCATCCCAAATGTGTGCCCCCTTCCACTAATCCAAGAATTGCTGGACGTGATCAAAGGGGCCACCATTTTCAGTAAACTGGATATACGATGGGGATATAACAATATACGAATCAAAAAAGGAGACGAGTGGAAGGCAGCTTTCATCACTCCATTGGGTTCCTACAAACCCACGGCGATGTTCTTCAGCCTCACCAACTCACCCGCCACCTTCCAAGCCATGATGAACATGATATTTAGAGAACTCATCACAGCCCGGAAAATAACTGTATATATGGACGACATCCTCATTTTTTCCAAAACCATGGCGGAACATATTCAGATCCTGAACCAAGTCTTCCAGATCTTACACGACAATGATCTCTATCTGAAGCCAGAAAAATGCGAGTTTTATAAAGAAAAACTCCAATATCTGGGATACACAATTTCAAAAGACTATGTCACTATGGAAGACTCTAAGGTGGATGCGATACAAGATTGGCCAATTCCATGCACAGTCTGAGACATTTGTTCCTTTTTGGGTCTAGGAAATTTTTACAGGCGCTTCATCGACAAGTTCTCACTGATCGTGCGCCCTCTACATGACCTCACCAAAAAAGATGCAAAATAGAACTGGACTTCAAAGTGCCAAGAAGCTTTTGAACGATTAAAAAGGGCATTTATCAGTAAACCCGTTCTAAATTAACCAGACCCCATGCATCCATATCGACTTGTGACGGATGCATCACTAATCGCCTATGGAGCTACCCTCCTGCAAGAAGGAAAAGATGGTGACTGGCACCCAGTTGCATTCCTTTCTGGGTCATTTTCACCAGCAGAACGGAATTACAACGTCCACGATCGCGAGCTCTTGGCCATTATAAAAGCATTGGAACACTGGAACCATTACCTCAAAGGCACATGACACCCATTCGAGATCTGGACAGATCACAAGAACCTGGAACATTTCCAAACAGCGCGAGACCTATCATAGCGACACGCCCATTGGAGCCTCTATTTGAGCAGATTTGACTTCACACTCAGCTATAAAGCAGGATCAACGAATCATTCTGATGCTCTGTCCAGGCGTCCAGATCTAAGTGAGGGGGTGGAATCTGATAACAAAGCTCAAATTTTGCTCCCGGCCAAACTTTTTAACAGACGCAACAAAACATTGGTGGAACCGTCTCCGACACGGCATATTAAGTTCATGGAAATCGCATCCTCAGACCTCATCTCCCTCATCCAACTCTCAAAATTAGAACATGATGCCCTGACAAGGGTAGCCCTCGCCAAACTCTTGCGAGTGGGATCACAAGGAATGAGGGGACTACTAGGACATTGGACACACGAAGACGGAATTACCAGACGAAACGGCCATATATGCGTCCCAAAGGACGATGCCATCCGAAGACTTATTGTCAAAACGCATCACAACGCACCTACGGTAGGACATCCAGGTAGAGCCAAAACATTGGAAATGGTACAACGACACTATTGGTGGCAAAACATGACAAAATTCGTTCATGAATACGTGGGCAGATGTGCTGTATGTCAATCTACAAAGAACCTAACACACAAGACACATCCTCCTATCCACCCTTTGGAAACCGCCAACATCCCTTGGCGGTTTATCTCAACAGATTTTGTCATGGACCTACCCGAAAGCAAAGGGTTTGACTCGATCAATGTGGTAGTGGACCAAGGTCTGTCCAAAGGCATAATCATCACCCCATGCAAGAAAACAATCACGGCAGAAGAAACAACCGTGCTTTTCCAGAATAACGTTTTCAATCGACATAGGCTGCCGACCAAAATAGTGTCTGATCGGGGCCCTCAATTTGCGGCCAAGTTCACCCGAGAACTCTGGAAACGGCTAGGAATCACCGCTGCTCTCAGCACAGCTTATCACCCCCAGACGGATGGAGAAACAAAACGGGTAAACCAGGAGATCAAACAATTCCTAAGAATGTTCTGCAGCTACCACCAAGATAACTGGGTGGACCTTCTGCTGTTTGCCGAATTCTCGCATAACACGTGGAAACATTTGACCATGGGAAAATCCCCTTTTGAAGTGCTATACGGGTTCAATCCTCCTTATTCAGCTGACACCACGCTAGAAACAAAGGTACCCGTGGTAGCTGAATGCATTAAGGTAATCACAGAAGTCCAGGAAGAAGCCGCAGCCAGTCTACAAATAGCTAGCAATTACACCAAAGACCGGGATCTTCACAGAAAACTTCCCCAGTGGAAGGAAGGAGACCAAGTATGGCTAGAAGGAACCTATATCCGGACGACCCATCCAAAATTCAAACTTGCCCCTAGGAGATATGGACCCTTCAAAATACTGGCAAAAGTAGGAAACCTAGCATATAAACTTCAAATTCCTCAACATTGGAGGATCCACCCGGTGTTCCATGTCGCAACACTCACAAAATATAGGGAAACCAAGGCACATGGGGAAAAATTCACAAGACCACTACTGGAGGTATTGAACGATGAAGAGCATTACGAAGTGGAAATGATTGTGGACTCAAAAAGACAAGGACGGGGAACCAAGTATTTGGTCAAGTGGGTGGGATATTCCAAGGCAGACAATACCTAGGAACCCTACACTCTCCTAAAAGGAACAGCAGAGGAAGCCATGAAGGAGTTTCATGACCAATACCCTGACAAACCTCATCCAGGAGTATCCTGAAAAGCAGAGGGAAGTCTATAAAAGAGTGACAAGAAAGTTTCAACAGATCATCTTTCCCACTTTTCTTGAGTTCATTCTTTTTTTTCACTCAAATGCTCTTCCACGAAGACCACGATGCTTCATCTCCATCAAGAAACTCCTCCCCCAATGTCATCCTTATGGTGTCCAATCCAGATGTCGGACGAGTAAACAGAGGAACTAGTCCTCACCGAGCCGATGCTGGACAAATTTGTTGTTTGTGGCCGTTCTGGTTGATGTGGCATGGATGCCACATGGGTGCCACCTTTGGGACTCATTGATTACTCGCCTCTACAGCCGGGAGCGGCCCTACAGCCATTCCCAGAGCGGGTATATTGCTTTCTTTCTCCATTTGGACTGTCTCACCTTGTTTTTGCCTTGTCTCACCTTGTTTTAGTTGTTTCACCAGGTTAGCCGGCTGAGGCGGTCCTGTGTGATGTCATTGACACTCCGGACTGAGCTCCAGGTGGAGCTTTTGACTGCTTTGTAAGATGTTTCACCTGTAATAACCCGTTGATGTCATACCTTCCTTTTTTGTTTCTTATTGTTCTGTGTAGCTTAAATACCCGTGGTCTGAGGGCGATTCTTTCCTCAGACTCTTACCCTCTGGACCACAGTCCTGTCATTATAGAGCTTCTTTTTGGCACTCTCTCTGTGCCAGTCACTTCTTTGTCACTGTGCTCAACAGGTTATGGGCCCTGCACTCTAGCAACCTTGCTCTACATTGTTTTATCGACACTTTCTGGTCTCCTCTCTGCTGTGCCACACCTTTCTAGCCACACCTCTTTGCTGCCACATCTTCCCCATTGCTTTCCCTGCCCTTCCCATCGTCCAACATTGCTTCCAACACCATTCCCTCCTTGTGCCACTCGTGCCACACCATGTCTGACCCCTCATTCGCTCTCCCTTCTGTCTCCCCTCTCAATAATCGCAACTATCCTTCCTGGTCTAAGGAAATCAAGGCCTGGCTTCGTCTCAAAGGCCTGTGGCTTCTGGTCTATGGTGACGAGACAGCCCCTGTTGGCACAAAGGAGAAGCCTGCTGACCCAAGGGAGGTGGCAGAGTGGAAGAGGAATGCTCAGAAGGCTGCTGGTGCGCTCTTACTTTCTGTTGAGGACCAGTTCAGAGGCATTTTGGATGGCATTGAGGACAACCCCATCGCTATTTGGACCACACTGGAGGAGCAGTTCAACAAGAAGTCTGCTGGATCGCGTTTCAATGCGATGGAGGACCTCTTTTCAATCAAGAAGCGTAATAATGAGTCCCTCCAGTCCCTCATTCATCGTGTCGATGAGTCTATGCACGTCCTGAGGAACCTCCGTGACTCTGACTTCGATCTCAAGAAGCAGGACAAGGAGCTCCCTTGCATGGCCCTCTTGTGGTCTCTCCCCTCCGAGTTTGACACCTTCCACCCTTCCCTCAGTCTCATGGACGTCTTATCTCACTCCAAGCTCAAGGACACGTTCAGGTGCAAGGATTTGAACCGTGCACGTCGTTCTGATTCCACAGACTCTGCACAGGCCCTTGTGGCATCCTTTCCTTCGTCCTCCACCTCTTCCTCCACCTCCTACAGACATTCCAGGCCACCCAGGAAGCAGTACAAGTGCAACTTCTGTGGTGCCACTGGCCACACTGATGACAGGTGCTTCAAGAGGATTAATGAGGAGCTGAAGAAGTCCAAGCCACAGCAGGCCCACTCGGTTCAGGCTCCTGAAGCCTCTGGTCCCATGCAGTTTGCAGGCAATGCAAGTCCTCGTTCCCCTGCTCCATCCCCTTCATCCACAGCCCCCTCACTCGTCACTGACCTTGATTGGAATGCGGACACAGGTGCAACCTCTCATATGACGCCCCATCGCCACTGGCTTCGCCACTATCATCCCTTTGTCGTCCCCATTCGTCTTGCAGACTCGTCTGTCATCTATTCTGCTGGTGTTGGGACTGTGGTGTTCAATCCGGTTGTTGGAGGCAAGAGGGCGCAGTCTGTGGAGTTCTCAAACGTCCTGCATGTCCTTGATCTTGGCAGGCTCCTACCCATCGCCATATCGAGGGCAAGGGTCTATTACTACTATGAGGAAATAAAAAAAAACATATGAGAAAACATATGACAAATATATGACGTAATGAAGCAACATTTTGAACCTTATTCCTCGAGCAATCCCAAGCCCTCTCCATCAGTGGCTGGCACAAAACATATATAAACACGCGCCACCCAGAAGTTTCACCGGTGTCAGCCACAAGTCCTCGCCGGGTAGAGCGGTCATCTGATCTCGTTTATTGCGGCGCATCGCGTAGACAGGATTTACAGAATTCCAGCCCTGCTGAAGCCATCTCAATGGCCGACTCACAACACCCCACTATCCCCCTTCTTTCAGAGATCCGCAAGAAGGCCACCAAATTTTTTGGTCGCCGCCCATGTATTTGGCAGCTGAAAGCAATACAGGCAATTATTAGACAGGACCAAGATGTTGTTTGCATCGCAGGGACTGGTTTGGGAAAGACCATGACTTTCTGGATGCCTCTCTTATTCCGTAAAGATGGTATTCAAATTGTGGTTACTCCATTGAATATTCTAGGTCAGCATAATGTTGACCAGTTGGCAGCAATTGGAGTGAGTGCGATAGCCATGAATGCAGAACAGGCAACACCACGAAACTTTCAGGTATAGATCATCCTTACTAAGTTGATATTCAATTCTCACATTGAGTTGTACTAGGATATTGCAGAGGGAAAGTACAGGGCTATTATGGTGATTCCGGAAGTCCTCATGAAAGATGGTGGGGGCTTCGAAAAGCTATGGAAAAATGAAGCTTTTGTGTCGCACGTTGTCAGTCTCAGCTGGGATGAAGGCCACTGTATTAGCAGTTGGGGAGACTTTCGCCCTAAATAAAAACAAGTAGGGCGCCTTCGGTATCTTATTCCCCGACACATTCCATTTTATGTGGTGTCCGCCACACTGCCCACACTTGTTCTTACCGATGTCATACAGATTCTACAAATAGATCGCAGCAAGGCAGCTATCATTTGGCGGAGCAACGATCGACCAAATGTGCACCTCATGGTTCGAAAAATACAGCACACCTTAAGTACCTATGAAGACCTCGCATTCATCATTTAAAGGGACTGGAAGCCCGGGGATCCTCCCCCTCCAAAGTTTCTCATTTTCTTCGACAGCATTTCAGATTCTGTGGCAGCAGCAAAGTCCCTGCGCAAGCAACTACCGAAGAGTCATGGGAACAAGATTAAATGGTTCAATGCCAACATGTCCTCACAATTTTGCAAGGAAGAGGTAGCGGCATTTCGAGATGGCGATACATGGGGGCTATGTTGTACGGACTCCTTCGGAACGGTCTGTTTGAATTGGCTACAGCTGTCTTATGAGTATTCTGACTTTATAAATAGGGGATTGATATACCTCATATTGCACTCATTGTGCAATGGTGTGCCAAGTGCAGACTCTGCTCTCTCTGGCAGCGCTTTGGACGTGGTGCTCGACAAATGGACCTCAAGGCAATGGCAATCCTGTTTGTCGAAGCAAAGTACTTTGATGAGGATAAGTTAAAAGCGGCAAACGCTAAGGCTTTGCGGGCTGAGAAGAAGGGAAAACGGAAGGCCGTCGAGAGTGCTGGACAAGCGATTTCAGAAAAGGTGGTTGTGTGAGGGTCTGGAGTAGGGATATGTCAAGCCAAACAAGTCAGCGTGATGCAGAAAAGTAGAGTCGAAATTGACGACACACCAGCACAAGGTCCTGTTTCAAATGCCGTCTCAAAGTGCCAATCTTGTCGCGAGAGGTATGAGCAGTCAAGTGGGGCCTTTGAGTCTGTCAATGAGAAGAAGGGATAGGGTAAGAAACAGGTCAGAGTTGAGCTAGAACCCATGGTGGACGACATCGTGAATGCCACTACTCGCGAGTGGTGATGCTATTGCGTGCCGGCCACAGTTTACTTTGCCAATGACAAACTGGATGGTGAGTCCGCAAGTTGTGTATCTTTGTATACTTGTTGATTGATTTTTACATAATGAGGCTCCGAAAACATCATATGCAACACAGACTCTCTCACAGGCTGCCGTTGTTGTGGACTATCTACAACGACACCCGTTTGTTGCTCACTCTACACGCCCAAAGCCTTTGAGCACCTCCAGTTCACCAATCGTGCGGCCGCTCGGACGCGGAGACCTCAATTCCCTGCGCTGCCTCGAGCACGCCATCTTGATACCAAGTATATCGTGACACCCATTGATATGGAGCTGCATGATGTGCTCCACCAGTATTGGAAGGAGCGCATGGCGGCAAAGTATGGCCCCGCGTTGCTCAAGGACTTGGGGCCCGGATTGATCATGTCAAATCAGATCATCCAACGTATCATTGACGCAGTGCACGCCGGTCGAATTGCCTTGCTGGGGGATCTCAAACACGAGGTCAAATGGAGTAGAGCAGACAAGTTGGGCAAGGACGTTGTGCGTATCATACTAGCCCATCCTACACCCATACCTGTTGCTCCTCCCATTCACACTCCTGCACGCGCAAGGGTGAAAGAGCCCTCTCATCCATTATTTGCATCCACGCCAGCTCCCCATCGCACAGCAACATCAGTTACTCTCTCAACGACGGTCGACAGACATGCAGGCACTGAGCCCGGGCCACTTTCGACTGCCTCCAGAGTTAAGCACGTATACACCTGCGGGACCTGCGGCATTCAGGGACATACAGGTACGGCCTTATTCCATGGTTTTGTGCGGAGTCTCAATGTTGGCGGCTATTCAGCGCGAAGCAAGAACTGCCCATCGTTGTGGTCAAGGGCTGGGGCCCCTCCGATACAGAATGAAAACACACCGCCGCATGGAGCGGAACGTTTCATGACCGCACCCGCCCATTTTGTGCTGTCATCGGGCACAATGTGCTCGTCCACCTCAGTTGTGCAGGTGTTAACTACCCCTCAGACGATGGGAAATGACTCAACAGTCCGTTCGCACGGTGTACCAAACGATGTGACGTCCTCTGCTGTGCTAGCACCCACCCCGGCAGGCCTCCAGGCCTCGACTGAATCAAGCATTACTGGCTTCATTCACGGTCATGCAGTCAACACCTCATCCCTAGTGCCAGGAATAGCACCCTCTCCTCCTTCTGTCGCATTCCTTCCGGACTCAGTGACATGTTCAAGCCGCGGTCACTCGTCCGCAGGCAAGTCACAGCCCTTGCCGGGCACCTTTGTGTGCTTGATGGGTTGGCCATCCCTCCGCGCGGGAAGCTCGTTACTTTCGGAGGTGATCCCTCCGAGCCATTTTTATGGATGGCAGGGATCACGCTTGACCTCGTCACATATTGCGCGTGTACCTCATCCGTGAGCATGCAACCATTGAGCCATACACTCTATACTAACCTCTCTGCTTACAGGCCATCATCCGAAAACATTCCATGATCTTGAAGCTCCACCCTCAAATCTTCTTCGTCCATCTCAATGTCAACCATCTCATGTTCCCTATCCTCATTCTCTCGCTCTTGTCCACCTGGAGTTTCTCGATATGAATCTGATCCCACCTTATATTCATTTTCTTCTATCAGGCCAAGCCCTTTTTCTATCATGTCCAGGATGTAGTAACGCGCCTGTCGACCAGCCTTGGACACGTTTGGTTCGCTATCCAACGTATATTTGAGGAGTTTATTGAATGTCCGTTTCATATCTTTGTGGCCCTTGCACGTCGTCAGACCAGGTATCTGAAAGTTCTCTTCAACATTCTTGTGACAGTTTTGGAAGACCCCGATCAAACAGGACTCCTTGATGACATTGTCCTTTGTAAAATTTGATCCTGACCCTCCGTAGATATGCTGGGGACCTTTGTTCAGTCCGAATCTCGTGCTTATATGGTAAATGTTACTCACCTTGGTAAACAGGTTGTTTAACTCAATAACCCAATCCACACCACGAAACTTCCCCGGTTGTCCTGTAGGATTAACTAGTACATTGTAGCGGACGACGCAGCGCAGCCCCTCAGGGTACACAAAGTGTACATCCAACAAGAATTGGGTTATAGCACTGGCATACTTATGCTTGCCGCAAGCCTTCAAGATTGCAATCCATGGAGCGAAGATGGTTTCGAGGTGCCCGACGTCCCCAACATTCATTGCGTGCATCAATTCCTCATAAAGCAGCATGTACTGATGCATAAGTAGAATGTTCTCGCGCTGTTGATCACGCGTGGCTCTGTCATGGCGCAGAACGGAAAGATCCACATGATCGCTCCCCAGTCCGGCAACATAGTCACGAGCCAAAGTGTGAGACAAGTCCATAATTTCCTCCATTGAAGGCTTATTCTCTGCCCATTCCTCCAAAGTACTGCACAACACAAGCTGTTTGTTCACCTCGACATGCCATGCATCCAGATGGAGGCAAATGCTGGTATGTCCAATTACCTCATGCATTCGACAAAAGCCAGGATCAGAGGTGATCTTGCCTGTTTCCTTGGGCTTCAACTGACCCACCAGTTTGAGCAATGAATTAGGATCCTGACGAGCATCAGGTGGATTGATGAAGATTCGCCAAATTGCATCAGCACAGGCCATCTTGAGGTGGAAGAGCCCCATGATGAAGACGATAAACTGGTATCGATGCCACGGTGACTTTTTAATTGTCTGCTCCTCTAACAAGGAGTTCACTCTCTCCCAGGTCCCTAGATCACCGAAAAACAACACCACCATTTCGAATATGTTGACGACCTCCGCCATGCCATGTTTTTCAGATCTACTCGTATCACAATCCCCTATGCCTGCCTGTGCCAAGATGTTTTCTATCGCTTTTAGATTCCCGGACACCTTTGACTGATTGATATCCATGGCAGTCAACGGTGCGTGCTCCAATTTCTGAATGGGTATCTGTTCAATAATTTCGGGGTCATGATGCTGAACTAGGAATCTCCGAAAATGACTGGGTCCGTGCCAGAACAAAGTGTCCCGAAAGAAGAAGGCGTTAAAGCGGCCCCTTCGTGTGAGTCCTGAAGGATCAATATCGGGCTCAGGATGTAGGGTGAGAATATCGAGGAAGGTTTATTGTGGTCCTGAGTGATCATCCTTGCAGTTGTTAAAAGGGGACTTTTGCCAGAGCTGCTCCGAACACCTCAAGTCCTCCAGTAAGCATTCTTGCAGCCAAAATGCATCTGCCGAAGTCATGTGTGCCAAGGTATCCACAGACTTCTCCACCGTTGAAATTAAAGTTGGGAAGTTGACATCAAAGTTGTCGTGTATGTAGCCAATAGTAAGTAATTGTCCCATTTCTCGTACTCGTTGCTTGGCATCTATTGATAGCGCGCTGATGGCATTGTTGACAGATTGCATAGAGATCGACACACCCATGCGTGCCAGTGTCTTGATCACCTTTTCGGGTGCATTGCAAGAGTGCAAGAAAATTCCAATCACGCTGGCGAGAGCATTGCATTGTTGGGACATGCTCTGTATCATAATGCTTATCACAACAGTTTGTTTCTAACAAAGTTTTCAATATCTAGGTGTTGTTTTTGGCCGTTCTGGTTGATGTGGCATGGATGCCACATGGGTGCCCCCTTTGGGACTCATTGATTACTCGCCTCTACAGCCGGGAGCGGCCCTACAGCCGTTCCCAGAGCGGGTATATTGCTTTCTTTCTCCATTTGGACTGTCTCACCTTGTTTTCACCTTGTCTCACCTTGTTTCAGTTGTTTCACCGGGTTAGCCGGCTGAGGCGGTCCGGTGTGATGTCATTGACACTCCGGACCGAGCTCCAGGTGGAGCTTTTGACCGCTTTGTAAGATGTTTCACATGTAATGACCCGTTGATGTCATACCTTCCTATTTCGTTTCTTATTGTTCTGTGTAGCTTAAATACCCGTGGTCCGAGGGCGATTCTTTCCTCAGACTCTTACCCTCTGGACCACAGGTGCGCTCCCCTCTGTTCTTTGTATCTACTCAGACTCTTACCCTCTGGACCACAGTCCTGTCGTTATAGAGCTTCTTCTTGGCACTCTCTCTGTGCCAGTCGCTTCATTGTCACTGCGCTCAACAGGTTATGGGCCCTGCGCTCTAGCGACTTTGCTCTACATCGTTTTATCCACACTTTCTGGTCTCCCATCTGCTGTGCCACACCTTTCTGGCCACACCTCTTTGCTGCCACATCTTCCTCATTGCTTTCCCTGCCTTTCCCATCGTCACACATTGCTTCCAACACCTTTCCCTCCTTGTGCCACTCGTGCCACACCATGTCTGACCCCTCATTCGCTCTCCCTTCTGTCTCCCCTCTCAATAATCGCAACTATCCTTCCTGGTCCAAGGAGATCAAGGCCTGGCTTCGTCTCAAAGGCCTGTGGCTTCTAGTCTCTGGTGATGAGACAGCCCCTGTTGGCACGAAGGAGAAGCCTGCTGAGGCAAGGGAGGTGGCAGAGTGGAAGAGGAATACTCAGAAGGCTGCTGGTGCGCTCTTACTTTCAGTTGAGGAGCAGTTCAGAGGCGTTTTGGATGGCATTGAGGACGACCCCATTGCCATTTGGACCAAACTGGAGGAGCAGTTCAATAAGAAGTCTGCTGGATCACGTTTCAACGCGATGGAGGACCTCTTTTCGATCAAGAAGCGCAACGATGAGTCCCTCCAGTCCCTCATTCATCGTGTCGACGAGTCTATGCGCGTCTTGAAGAACCTCCGCGACTCTGGCTTCGATCTCAAGAAGCAGGACGAGGAGCTCACTTGCATGGCCCTCTTGTGGTCTCTCCCCTCCGAGTTTGACACTTTCCGCTCCTCCCTCAGTCTCATGGACGTCTTGTCTCGCTCCAAGCTCGAGGACGCGTTCAGGCGCGAGGATTTGAATCGTGCGCGTCGTTCTGATCCCACAGACTCTGCACAGGCCCTTGTGGCATCCTTTCCTTCGTCCTCCACCTCTTCCTCCACCTCCTACAGACGTTCTAGGCCACCCAGGAAGCAGTACAAGTGCGACTTCTGTGGTGCCACTGGCCATACTGATGACAGGTGCTTCAAGAGGATCAATGAGGAGCTAAAGAAGTCCAAGCCACAGCAGGCCCACTCGGTTCAGGCCCCTGAAGCCTCTGGTCCCATGCAGTTTGCAGGCAATGCAAGTTTTCGTTCCCCTGCTCCATCCCCTTCATCCACAGCCCCCTCACTCGTCACTGACCTCGATTGGAATGCGGACACAGGTGCGACCTCTCATATGACGCCCCATCGCCACTGGCTTCGCAACTATCGTCCCTTTGTTGTCCCCATTCGTCTTGCAGACTCGTCTGTCATCTATTCTGCTGGTGTTGGGACTGTGGTGTTCAATCCGGTCGTTGGAGGCAAGAGGGCGCAGTCTGTGGAGTTCTCAAACGTCCTGCATGTCCCTGATCTCGGTTGTAATCTCCTGTCTGTGCTGTATTTGACTCAGCACAAGCACTTCTCTGTGCTAATAGAAGGATCTTCGATGCATTTCTCCCGGGATGGTGCAGTGTGGTTCATGGCAGTTGTTCCTGATGGTTCCAACAACGCATATCTTCAAGGGACCACATCCACCGTTGTTTTGCAGTCTGCTGGTGCCGCTTCTACTCTCCCTCTTGACTTGTCCCTGTGGCATCGTCGTCTCTGCCATCACCACTATGCTGGAGTGCAGAGGATGGTGAAGGAACGTCTCGTTACTGGTCTACAGCTCGATTCGGACGTGCAGCCTGACCCTGTGTGCGAGCCCTGTCTCTCTGGCAAGATGCACGCTCACCCCTTCCCCTCCACTGGCTCTGTGACCTCCAAACCGCTTGAACTCGTCCACTCTGATCTCCATGGTCCTCTCCCTGTTGCAACTCACTCTGGAATGCGCTACTGGATCACCTTCATTGATGAGTTCACCAAGCTCAAGGTGGTCTATGTCCTGCGCTTGAAGAGCGACGCGTTTGAGGCTTTCAAGCGCTACAAGGCCTATGTGGAAAACCTGACTGGACAGCGCATTTTGGCTCTGCAGGATGACAAGGGAGGAGAGTACATGTCCAATGCCTGGGACTCGTTTTGTTTGGAGCATGGGATCGCTAGGAGGCACACGGCGCGCAATCGGCCACAGCAGAACGGCGTGGCAGAGCGTGCCAATCGCACTATCATGGAGGCCCTCACTGCTATGCTCTCTGAATCGCATTTGCCGCTTGTTTTCTGGGGCGAGGCTCTGGCCGCTTATGTGCACGTCTGGAATCGACTCTGGACATCTACCCTGAAGGGCAAGACACCATTTGAGATGGTCCATGGGAAGAAGCCGGACGTTTCGCACTTGCGGGTCTGGGGCTGCCTGGCTTATGTGCATATGCAGAGAGACAAAAGAGATGGATTTGGATCGCATATGGAGAAGTGCGTGTTTATTGGGTATCCTGAGGGCTACAAGGCGTGGAAGTTCTACAATCCTGCGACTCGGAAGGTCATTATTTCGGAAAGGGCAGACTTTGATGAGCGATTCTTTCCTGGCACTCGCCACTTTGATGCTAACACCCAGTCTGCCACCCCTCCTCCTTCGTCTCTGTTCAGTCTTTGGGATGCAGATGTGGATCCGGTGCCGGTTCTGGGGGGGGAAGCAGATGCTCCTCCTCCTGCTGGTCATCTCGAAGATGCTTCCATCGATCAGGATCATCCTGTGGCAGACCCAGCACCTCCTCCACCTCTTGCTCCTGCCATTGTCCCTCCTGATGCTCCCCCTCCTGTCATTCCAGCGCCACCTCCTGCTCTTAGAACGCGCTCCAGGAATCGCTCTGCTACCCCTGAACCAGGCCCATCTGTTACTCGACGCTCCACTCGTACTCGTCGCGCTCCTGGGGAATGGTGGAAGGTTAGGACACTGTCTGCAGACAATGATGCTCATTCGGACACTGCCGAGGACGCCCCTGATGCTTCTGGAGAGGCAGAGATGGAACCCATTGTTGAGGACGCATTTCTGGCTGAAGTCGAGCGTGCCCTATTTACCTCTGGTGCCGAAAAGGCTGAGCCCTCGACGTATCGTCAGGCAATGAAGCGCCCTGATGCAGATGAGTGGCAGAAGGCGGCAGAGGAAGAGATGGAGGCTCATGCTCGGAATCGCACCTGGGACATTGTTCCACTCCCTGAGGGCTGCAAGGCAATTGGCTCTCGTTGGGTTTTCAAGGTGAAGCACAACACGGATGGCTCTGTCGAGCGCTACAAGGCTCGTCTCGTCGCCAAGGGCTTCAGTCAGCGCCCTGGGTTTGATTACTTCGAGACATTCGCCCCCACAGCCAAGTTTGCAGCCATTCGCGCCATCCTTGCTCTCTCTGCCCTCGAGGACTTTCACCTGCGCTCTGTGGACATCTCTCATGCGTTCATCAATGGCGATCTGGACACTGTGGTCTACATGGAGCAGCCTGAAGGATTTGAGCGGGGAGGACCTGAGATGGTGTGCCGCTTGATGAAGGGCTTGTATGGGTTGAAGCAGGCGAGTCGGCTGTGGTACAAGAAGCTCAAGGCGGTATTGGAGCGCATGGGATTCAAGGCGATCTACTCTGACAACAGCATCTATGTCTACACCAAGGATCAGGTCAAGGTCATTCTGCCTGTCTTTGTGGATGACTGCACTTTTGCGTCGAATTCCTTGTCCCTGCTCGATGATCTTGTCGTTGAGCTCTCTAGGTCGTTCAAGCTTCGCGATTTGGGGCCCACTACCGCTCTTCTTGGGATAGAGATTGCCAGGGATCGCCCTAATCGTCGCCTGATGCTCTCCCAGCGCCAGTACATCCTAGACATGCTGGAGCGTTATGGACAGGCCGACTCAACCCCTGTGAAGACCCCCATGGTCCCTGGCACCAATCTCTCTGTCTCCATGGCTCCTATATCGACTGAGGACAAGGAGTATATGAAGAAGGTTCCCTACATCTCTGCTGTCGGTTCCCTGCTGTTCCTTGCACTCGCCACTCGTCCTGACATCGCCCACACGGTCTCTGTCCTATGCCGTTTCAACTCGAATCCTGGAATTGCGCACTGGAAGGCTGTGAAGCATGTGTTTCGCTATCTGAGAGGCACCCTGGATTATCGACTCGTCTATGGTCCCACCGACTCCAAGGAGCTCTTTACCTCGTTCTGTGATGCTGATCATGCAGGCAACCCAGACAACGGACGGTCCACGAGTGGATATGTGTTGCGCATTGGCTCTGGAGCAATCAGCTGGAGCTCCAAGCTTCAGGGACTGGTTGCACAGTCGACCACAGAGGCGGAATTCATTGCTGCCGTTGATGCGGGCCGGGAGATCGTCTGGATGCGCAATTTGCTCACTGAACTTGGCTACTCCCTGTCTGAGGCATCGATTCTCCGTGTCGATAACCAGTCGGCTGTTGCAGTTAGCAAGAATCCAGAGCACCATGGGCGGATGAAGCATCTCGATCTTCGATTCTTTTGGCTCAGGGACCAGGTAGAGTCTGGTGTGATTGCGCCAGCCTACGTTCCTGCTGCAGACATCCTGACGAAGGCTGTTCCACCTGAGAAGGTGAAGATTTGCTGCGGCCTGATGGGACTAGAGGATGTGGCGCATTAGGAGGGTGTTTTGGACGCTGTAGAGGTGTGCAATCAGGAGGGTGTGTTGTTTTTGGCCGTTGTGGTTGATGTGGCATGGATGCCACATGGGTGCCACCTTTGGGACTCATTGATTACTCGCCTCTACAGCCGGGAGCGGCCCTACAGCCGTTCCCAGAGCGGGTATATTGCTTTCTTTCTCCATTTGGACTGTCTCACCTTGTTTTCACCTTGTCTCACCTTGTTTCAGTTGTTTCACCGGGTTAGCCGGCTGAGGCGGTCCGATGTGATGTCATTGACACTCCGGACCGACCTCCAGGTGGAGCTTTTGACCGCTTTGTAAGATGTTTCACATGTAATGACCCGTTGATGTCATACCTTCCTATTTCGTTTCTTATTGTTCTGTGTAGCTTAAATACCCGTGGTCCGAGGGCGATTCTTTCCTCAGACTCTTACCCTCTGGACCACAGGTGCGCTCCCCTCTGTTCTTTGTATCTACTCAGACTCTTACCCTCTGGACCACAGTCCTGTCGTTATAGAGCTTCTTCTTGGCACTCTCTCTGTGCCAGTCGCTTCATTGTCACTGCGCTCAACACTAGGCATCCACAATAATGACAGATGTTTTGACACCCACAATCTGTAGAAGCATTGCGCGCCGGTGCGGTTCCTTATTTTCTGGCCGTCTCTTTCTTGTGGTGGCTCTGGTAACAGTTGCAGGGGCCACGCGGTTGGCTCCTAACATGGCTCCGAGAAGGTTCCATGTCTCCAGTGAGAGCCTTTCTAGATCTTTGGCCATTTGCTCAATTTTAAAGTTTTCTAGCTGTTCTATGGTGGCATTTACTGCACCAAAGTGCCATCCATGCTCGGGGTCTGAAAGAGCAAGAATTTCAGAAGAGTGGTATTGCTTGGCAGTGTCGAGAGCCCATTGTATAATAATCCCAGATGATGTCCTGTTTTTGTAAAATACAGTACAGAGGTCTCCGCTCCGAGCTATGAGATTGATAAGGACAGGGTGGTCCTGATAATAAGGGTTTCCTAACAATGAGATTAAAAAATCAGCTAAATTGATTTCCTGAGCTGCTAGTGCTGCTAAGACTGCTTCAGTCGGACGTGTGGCCATCTTTTATGCCATTTATCGGTTATTTATTTCTTCATAGCCTACAAGCTTACTAATTGTGTTCTGATCAAATTCCGGCGAGGACTTGTGGCTGACACCGGTGAAACTTCTGGGTGGCACGCGTTTGTATATGTTTTGTGCCAGCCGCTGATGGAGAGGGCTTGGGATTGCTCGAGGAATAAGGTTCAAAATGTTGCTTCATTACATCATATATTTGTCATATGTTTTCTCATATGTTTTTTTTTATTTCCTCATAGTAGTAATAGACTCTTGCCCTCGACATGGCGATGGGTAGGAGCCTGTGATCTTGGCTGTAATCTTCTGTCTGTGCTGTATTTCACTCAGCACAAGCACTTCTCTGTGCTAATAGAAGGAGTTTCGATGCATTTCTCTCGGGACGGTGCAGTGTGGTTCATGGCAATCGTTCCTGATGGTTTTAACAATGCTTATCTTCAAGGGACCACCTCCACCGTTGTTTTGCAGTCTGCTGGTGCTGCTTTTACTCTCCCTCTTGACTTGTCTTTGTGGCATCGTCATCTCTGCCACCACCACCATGCTGGAGTGCAGAGGATGGTGAAGGAACAACTCGTTACTGGCCTACAGCTCGATTCGGACGTGCAGCCTGACCCTGTGTGCAAGCCCTGTCTCTCTGGCAAGATGCACACTCACCCCTTCCCCTCCACTGGCTCTGTGACCTCCAAGCCGCTTGAACTCGTCCACTCTGATCTCCATGGTCCTCTCCCTGTTGCCACTCACTCTGGAATGCGCTACTGGATCACCTTCATTGATGAGTTCACCAAGCTCAAGGTGGTCTATGTCCTGTGCTTGGAGAGCGACATGTTTGAGGCTTTCAAGCGCTACAAGGCCTATGCGGAGAACCTAACTGGACAGTGCATTTTGGCTTTGCAGATGACAAGGGAAGAGAGTACATGTCCAATGCCTGGGACTGTTGAGCGCAGTGACAATGAAGCGACTGGCACAGAGAGAGTGCCAAAAAGAAGCTCTATAACGACAGGACTGTGGTCCAGAGGGTAAGAGTCTGAGTAGATACAAAGAACAGAGGGGAGCGCACCTGTGGTCCAGAGGGTAAGAGTCTGAGGAAAGAATCGCCCTCGGACCACGGGTATTTAAGCTACACAGAACAATAAGAAACGAAATAGGAAGGTATGACATCAACGGGTCATTACATGTGAAACATCTTACAAAGCGGTCAAAAGCTCCACCTGGAGCTCGGTCCGGAGTGTCAATGACATCACACCGGACCGCCTCATCCGGCTAACCCGGTGAAACAACTGAAACAAGGTGAGACCAAGTGAAAACAAAGTGAGACAGTCCAAATGGAGAAAGAAAGCAATATACCCGCTCTGGGAACGGCTGTAGGGCCGCTCCCGGCTGTAGAGGCGAGTAATCAATGAGTCCCAAAGGGGGCACCCATGTGGCATCCATGCCACATCAACCAGAACGGCCAAAAAACAACACACCCTCCTGATTGCATGCCTCTACAGCGTCCAAAACACCCTCCTAATGCGGCAGATCCTCTAGTCCCATCAGGCCGCAGCAAATCTTCACCTTCTCAGGTGGAACAGCCTTCGTCAGGATGTCTGCAGCGTTGTCCGCAGTAGGAACGTAGGCTGGCGCAATCACACCAGCCTCTACCTGGTCCCTGAGCCAAAAGAATCGAAGATCGAGATGCTTCATCCGCCCATGGTGCTCTGGATTCTTGCTAACTGCAACAGCCGACTGGTTATCGACACGGAGAATCGATGCCTCAGACAGGGAGTAGCCAAGTTCAGTGAGCAAATTGCGCATCCAGACGATCTCCCGGCCCGCATCAACGGCAGCAATGAATTCCGCCTCTGTGGTCGACTGTGCAACCAGTCCCTGAAGCTTGGAGCTCCAGCTGATCGCTCCAGAGCCAATGCGCAACACATATCCACTCGTGGACCGTCCGTTGTCTGGGTTGCCTGCATGATCAGCATCACAGAACGAGGTAAAGAGCTCCTTGGAGTCGGTGGGACCATAGACGAGTCGATAATCCAGGGTGCCTCTCAGATAGCGAAACAGATGCTTCACAGCCTTCCAGTGCGCAATTCCAGGATTCGAGTTGAAACGGCATAGGACAGAGACCGTGTGGGCGATGTCAGGACGAGTGGCGAGTGCAAGGAACAGCAGGGAACCGACAGCAGAGATGTAGGGAACCTTCTTCATATACTCCTTGTCCTCAGTCGATATAGGAGCCATGGAGACAGAGAGATTGGTGCCAGGGACCATGGGGGTCTTCACAGGGGTCGACTCGGCCTGTCCATAGCGCTCCAGCATGTCTAGGATGTACTGGCGCTGGGAGAGCATCAGGCGACGATTAGGGCGATCCCTGGCAATCTCTATCCCAAGAAGAGCGGTAGTGGGCCCCAAATCGCGAAGCTTGAACGACCTGGAGAGCTCAACGACAAGATCATCGAGCAGGGACAAGGAATTCGACGCAAAAGTGCAGTCATCCACAAAGACTGGCAGAATGACCTTGACCTGATCCTTGGTGTAGACATAGATGCTGTTGTCAGAGTAGATCGCCTTGAATCCCATGCGCTCCAATACCGCCTTGAGCTTCTTGTACCACAGCCGACTCGCCTGCTTCAACCCATACAAGCCCTTCATCAAGCGGCACACCATCTCAGGTCCTCCCTGCTCAAATCCTTCAGGCTGCTCCATGTACACCACAGTGTCCAGATCACCATTGATGAACGCATGAGAGATGTCCACAGAGCGCAGGTGAAAGTCCTCGAGGGCAGAGAGAGCAAGGATGGCGCGAATGGCTGCAAACTTGGCTGTGGGGGCGAATGTCTCGAAGTAATCAAACCCAGGGCGCTGACTGAAGCCCTTGGCGACGAGACGAGCCTTGTAGCGCTCGACAGAGCCATCCGTGTTGTGCTTCACCTTGAAAACCCAACGAGAACCAATTGCCTTGCAGCCCTCAGGAAGTGGAACAATGTCCCAGGTGCGATTCCGAGCATGAGCCTCCATCTCTTCCTCTGCCGCCTTCTGCCACTCATCTGCATCAGGGCGCTTCATTGCCTGACGATACGTCGAGGGCTCAGCCTTTTCAGCACCAGAGGTGAATAGGGCACGCTCGACTTCAGCCAGAAATGCGTCCTCAACAATGGGTTCCATCTCTGCCTCTCCAGAAGCATCAGGGGCGTCCTCAGGAGTGTCCGAATGAGCATCATTGTCTGCAGACAGTGTCCTAACCTTCCACCATTCCCCAGGAGCGCGACGAGTACGAGTGGAGCGTCGAGTAACAGATGGGCCTGGTTCAGGGGTAGCAGAGCGATTCCTGGAGCGCGTTCTAAGAGCAGGAGGTGGCGCTGGAATGACAGGAGGGGGAGCATCAGGAGGGACAATGGCAGGAGCAAGAGGTGGAGGAGGTGCTGGGTCTGCCACAGGATGATCCTGATCGATGGGAGCATCTTCTAGATGACCAGCAGGAGGAGGAGCATCTGCTTCCCCCCCCAGAACCGGCACCGGATCCACATCTGCATCCCAAAGACTGAACAGAGACGAAGGAGGAGGGGTGGCAGACTGGGTGTTAGCATCAAAGTTGCGAGTGCCAGGAAAGAATCGCTCATCAAAGTCTGCCCTTTCCGAAATGATGACCTTCCGAGACACAGGATTGTAGAACTTCCACGCCTTGTAGCCCTCAGGATACCCAATAAACACGCACTTCTCCATATGAGATCCAAATCCATCCCTTTTGTCCCTCTGCACATGCACATAAGCTAAGCAGCCCCAGACCCGCAAGTGCGAAACGTCCGGCTTCTTCCCATGGACCATCTCAAATGGTGTCTTGCCCTTCAGGGTAGATGTCCAGAGTCGATTCCAGACGTGCACATAAGCGGCCAGAGCCTCGCCCCAGAAGACAAGCGGCAAATGCGATTCAGAGAGCATAGCAGTGAGGGCCTCCATGATAGTGCGATTGGCACGCTCTGCCACGCCGTTCTGCTGTGGCCGATTGCGCGCCGTGTGCCTCCTAGCGATCCCATGCTCCAAACAAAACGAGTCCCAGGCATTGGACATGTACTCTCCTCCCTTGTCATCCTGCAAAGCCAAAATGCGCTGTCCAGTCAGGTTCTCCACATAGGCCTTGTAGCGCTTGAAAGCCTCAAACGCGTCGCTCTTCAAGCGCAGGACATAGACCACCTTGAGCTTGGTGAACTCATCAATGAAGGTGATCCAGTAGCGCATTCCAGAGTGAGTTGCAACAGGGAGAGGACCGTGGAGATCAGAATGGACGAGTTCAAGCGGTTTGGAGGTCACAGAGCGAGTGGAGGGGAAGGGGTGAGCGTGCATCTTGCCAGAGAGACAGGGTTCGCACACAGGGTCAGGCTGCACATCCGAATCGAGCTGTAGACCAGTAACGAGTTGTTCCTTCACCATCTTCTGCACTCCAGCATGGTGGTGGTGGCAGAGACGACGATGCCACAGGGACAAGTCAAGAGGGAGAGTAGAAGCGGCACCAGCAGACTGCAAAACAACGGTGGATGTGGTCCCTTGAAGATATGCGTTGTTGGAACCATCAGGAACGATTGCCATGAACCACACTGCACCATCCCGGGAGAAATGCATCGAAGATCCTTCTATTAGCACAGAGAAGTGCTTGTGCTGAGTCAAATACAGCACAGACAGGAGATTACAACCGAGATCAGGGACATGCAGGACGTTTGAGAACTCCACAGACTGCGCCCTCTTGCCTCCAATGACTGGATTGAACACCACAGTCCCAACACCAGCAGAATAGATGACAGACGAGTCTGCAAGACGAATGGGGATGACAAAGGGACGATAGTGGCGAAGCCAGTGGCGATGGGGCGTCATATGAGAGGTCGCACCTGTGTCCGCATTCCAATCGAGGTCAGTGACGAGTGAGGGGACTGTGGACGAAGGGGATGGAGCAGGGGAACGAAAACTTGCATTGCCTGCAAACTGCATGGGACCAGAGGCTTCAGGGGCCTGAACCGAGTGGGCCTGCTGTGGCTTGGACTTCTTTAGCTCCTCATTGATCCTCTTGAAGCACCTGTCATCAGTATGGCCAGTGGCACCACAGAAGTCGCACTTGTACTGCTTCCTGGGTGGCCTAGAACGTCTGTAGGAGGTGGAGGAAGAGGTGGAGGACGAAGGAAAGGATGCCACAAGGGCCTGTGCAGAGTCTGTGGGATCAGAACGACGCGCACGGTTCAAATCCTCGCGCCTGAACGCGTCCTCGAGCTTGGAGCGAGACAAGACGTCCATGAGACTGAGGGAGGAGCGGAAAGTGTCAAACTCAGAGGGGAGAGACCACAAGAGGGCCATGCAAGTGAGCTCCTCGTCCTGCTTCTTGAGATCGAAGCCAGAGTCGCGGAGGTTCTTCAAGACGCGCATAGACTCGTCGACACGATGAATGAGGGACTGGAGGGACTCATCGTTGCGCTTCTTGATCGAAAAGAGGTCCTCCATCGCGTTGAAACGCGATCCAGCAGACTTCTTATTGAACTGCTCCTCCAGTTTGGTCCAAATGGCAATGGGGTCGTCCTCAATGCCATCCAAAACGCCTCTGAACTGCTCCTCAACTGAAAGTAAGAGCGCACCAGCAGCCTTCTGAGCATTCCTCTTCCACTCTGCCACCTCCCTTGCCTCAGCAGGCTTCTCCTTCGTGCCAACAGGGGCTGTCTCATCACCAGAGACTAGAAGCCACAGGCCTTTGAGACGAAGCCAGGCCTTGATCTCCTTGGACCAGGAAGGGTAGTTGCGATTATTGAGAGGGGAGACAGAAGGGAGAGCGAATGAGGGGTCAGACATGGTGTGGCACGAGTGGCACAAGGAGGGAAAGGTGTTGGAAGCGATGTGTGACGATGGGAAAGGCAGGGAAAGCAATGGGGAAGATGTGGCAGCAATGGGGTGTGGCCAGAAAGGAGTGGCACAGCAGATGGGAGACCAGAAAGTGTGGATAAAACGATGTAGAGCAAAGTCGCTAGAGCGCAGGGCCCATAACCTGTTGAGCGCAGTGACAATGAAGCGACTGGCACAGAGAGAGTGCCAAAAAGAAGCTCTATAACGACAGGACTGTGGTCCAGAGGGTAAGAGTCTGAGTAGATACAAAGAACAGAGGGGAGCGCACCTGTGGTCCAGAGGGTAAGAGTCTGAGGAAAGAATCGCCCTCGGACCACGGGTATTTAAGCTACACAGAACAATAAGAAACGAAATAGGAAGGTATGACATCAACGGGTCATTACATGTGAAACATCTTACAAAGCGGTCAAAAGCTCCACCTGGAGCTCGGTCCGGAGTGTCAATGACATCACACCGGACCGCCTCATCCGGCTAACCCGGTGAAACAACTGAAACAAGGTGAGACCAAGTGAAAACAAAGTGAGACAGTCCAAATGGAGAAAGAAAGCAATATACCCGCTCTGGGAACGGCTGTAGGGCCGCTCCCGGCTGTAGAGGCGAGTAATCAATGAGTCCCAAAGGGGGCACCCATGTGGCATCCATGCCACATCAACCAGAACGGCCAAAAAACAACAGGGACTCGTTTTGTTTGGAGCATGGGATCGCTAGGAGGCACACGGCACACAATCGGCCACAGCAGAACGGCGTGGCAGAGCGTGCCAATCGCACTATCATGGAGGCCCTCACTACCATGCTTTCTGAATCGCATTTGCCGCTTGTTTTCTGGGGCGAGGCTCTGGCCACTTATGTGCACGTCTGGAATTGACTCTGGACGTCTACCCTGAAGGGCAAGACGCCATTTGAGATGGTCCATGGGAAAAAGCCGGACGTTTCGCACTTGCGGGTCTGGGGCTGCCTAGCCTATGTGCATGTGCAGAGGGACAAAAGGGATGGATTTGGATCTCATATGGAGAAGTGCGTGTTTATTGGGTACCCTGATAGCTACAAGGCGTGGAAGTTCTACAATCCTGCGACTCGGAAGGTCATCATTTCGGAAAGGGCAGACTTTGATGAGCGATTCTTTCCTGGCACTCGCCACTTTGATGCTAACACCCAGTCTGCCACTCCTCCTCCTTCGTCTCTGTTCAGTCTTTGGGATGCAGATGTGGATCCGGTGCCGGTCCTGGGGGGGGGGGAAGCAGATGCTCCTCCTCCTGCTGGTCACCTCGAAGACGCTCCCACCGACCAGGATCATCCTGTGGCAGACCTAGCATCTCCTCCACCTCTTGCTCCTATCATTGTCCCTCCTGATGCTCTCCCTCCTGTCATTCCAGCACCACCTCCTGCTCTCTAAACACGCTCTAGGAATGACTCTGCCACTCCTGAACCAGGTCCATCTGCTACTCAACGCTCCACTCGCACTCGTCGTGCTCCTGGGGAATGGTGGAAGGTTAGGACGCTGCCTGCAGACAATGATGCTCATTCTGACATTGCTGAGGACGTCCCTGATGCTCCTGGAGAGGCAGAGATGGAACCCATTGTTGAGGACGCATTTCTGGCTGAAGTCGAGCGTGCCCTGTTCACCTCTGGTGCTGAAAAGGCTGAGCCCTCGATGTATCGTCAGGCAATGAAGCGCCCTGATGCAGATGAGTGGCAGAAGGCGGCAGAGGAAGAGATGGAGGCTCATGCTCGGAATCGCACCTAGGACATTGTTCCACTCCCTGAGGGCTGCAAGGCGATCGGTTCTCGTTGGGTTTTCAAGGTGAAGCACAACATGGATGGCTCTGTCGAGCGCTACAAGGCTCGACTCGTCGCCAAGGGCTTCAGTCAGCGCCCTGGGTTTGATTACTTCGAGACATTCGCCCCCACAGCCAAGTTTGCAGCCATTCGCGCCATCCTTGCTCTCTCTGCCCTCGAGGACTTTCACCTGCGCTCTGTCGACATCTCCCATGCGTTCATCAATGGCGATCTGGACACTGTGGTCTACATGGAGCAGCCTGAAGGATTTGAGCAGGGAGGACCTGAGATGGTCTGTCGCTTGATGAAGGGCTTGTATGGGCTGAAGCAGGCGAGTCGGCTGTGGTACAAGAAGCTCAAGGCGGTACTGGAGCGCATGGGATTCAAGGCGATCTACTCTGACAATAGCATCTATGTCTATGCCAAGGATCAGGTCAAGGTCATTCTGCCTGTCTTTGTAGATGACTGCACTTTTGTGTCGAATTCCTTGTCCCTGCTCGATGATCTTGTCGTTGAGCTCTCTAGGTCGTTCAAGCTTCGCGATTTGGGGCCCACTACCGCTCTTCTTGGGATAGAGATTGCCAGGGATCGCCCTAATCGTCGCCTGATGCTCTCCCAGCGCCAGTACATCCTAGACATGCTGGAGCGTTATGGACAGGCCGACTCGACCCCTGTGAAGACCCCCATGGTCCCTGGCACCAATCTCTCTGTCTCCATGGCTCCTGTATCGACTGAGGACAAGGAGTATATGAAGAAGGTTCCCTACATCTCTGCTGTCGGTTCCCTGCTGTTCCTTGCACTCGCCACTCGTCCTGACATCGCCCACACGGTCTCTGTCCTATGCCGTTTCAACTCGAATCCTGGGATTGCGCACTGGAAGGCTGTGAAGCATGTGTTTCGCTATCTGAGAGGCACCCTGGATTATCGACTCGTCTATGGTCCCACCGACTCCAAGGAGCTCTTTACCTCGTTCTGTGATGCTGATCATGCAGGCAACCTAGACAACGGACGGTCCACGAGTGGATATGTGTTGCGCATTGGCTCTGGAGCGATCAGCTGGAGCTCCGAGCTTCAGGGACTCGTTGCACAGTCGACCACAGAGGCGGAATTCATTGCTGCCGTTGATGCGGGCCGGGAGATCGTCTGGATGCGGAATTTGCTGACTGAACTTGGCTACTCCCTGTCTGAGGCATCGATTCTCCGTGTCGATAACCAGTCGGCTGTTGCAGTTAGCAAGAATCCAGAGCACCATGGGCGGATGAAGCATCTCGATCTTCGATTCTTTTGGCTCAGGGACCAGGTAGAGGCTGGTGTGATTGCGCCAGCCTACGTTCCTACTGCGGACAACGCTGCAGACATCCTGACGAAGGCTGTTCCACCTGAGAAGGTGAAGATTTGCTGCGGCCTGATGGGACTAGAGGATCTGCCGCATTAGGAGGGTGTTTTGGACGCTGTAGAGGTGTGCAATCAGGAGGGTGTGTTGTTTTTGGCCGTTGTGGTTGATGTGGCATGGATGCCACATGGGTGCCCCCTTTGGGACTCATTGATTACTCGCCTCTACAGCCGGGAGCCGCCCTACAGCCGGTCCCAGAGCGGGTATATTGCTTTCTTTCTCCATATGGACTGTCTCACCTTGTTTTCACCTTGTCTCACCTTGTTTCAGTTGTTTCACCAGGTTAGCCGGCTGAGGCGGTCCGGTGTGATGTCATTGACACTCCGGACCGACCTCCAGGTGGAGCTTTTGACCGCTTTGTAAGATGTTTCACATGTAATGACCCATTGATGTCATACCTTCCTATTTCGTTTCTTATTGTTCTGTGTAGCTTAAATACCCGTGGTCCGAGGGCGATTCTTTCCTCAGACTCTTACCCTCTGGACCACAGGTGCGCTCCCCTCTGTTCTTTGTATCTACTCAGACTCTTACCCTCTGGACCACAGTCCTGTCGTTATAGAGCTTCTTTTTGGCACTCTCTCTGTGCCAGTCGCTTCATTGTCACTGCGCTCAACACTGAGTAGATACAAAGAACAGAAGGGAGCGCACCTGTGGTCCAGAGGGTAAGAGTCTGAGGAAAGAATCGCCCTCGGACCACGGGTATTTAAGCTACAGAGAACAATAAGAAACGAAATAGGAAGGTATGACATCAACGGGTCATTACAGGTGAAACATCTTACAAAGCGGTCAAAAGCTCTACCTGGAGCTTGGTCCGGAGTGTCAATGACATCACACAGGACCGCCTCAGCCGGCTAACCCGGTGAAACAACTGAAACAAGGTAAGACAAGGCAAAAACAAGGTGAGACAGTCCAAATGGAGAAAGAAAGTAATATACCCGCTCTGGAAACAGCTGTAGGGCCGCTCCCAGCTGTAGAGGCGAGTAAATCCATGAGTCCCAAAGGTGGCACCTATGTGGTATGGATGCCCACATCAACCAGAATGGCCACAAACAACACACCCTCCTGATTGCACGCCTCTACAGCGTCCAAAACACCCTCCTAATGCGGCAGATCCTCTAGTCCCATCAGGCTGCAGCAAATCTTCACCTTCTCAGGTGGAACAGCCTTCGTCAGGATGTCTGCAGCGTTGTCCGCAGTAGGAACGTAGGCTGGCGCAATCACACCAGCCTCTACCTGGTCCCTGAGCCAAAAGAATCGAAGATCGAGATGCTTCATGCGCCCATGGTGCTCTGGATTCTTGCTAACTGCAACAGCCGACTGGTTATCGACACGGAGAATTGATGGCTCAGACAGGGAGTAGCCAAGTTCAGTCAGCAAATTCCGCATCCAGACGATCTCCCGGCCCGCATCAATGGCAGCAATGAATTCCGCCTCTGTGGTCGACTGTGCAACGAGTCTCTGAAGCTTGGAGCTCCAGCTGATCGCTCCAGAGCCAATGCGCAACACATATCCACTAGTGGACCGTCCGTTGTCTAGGTTGCCTGCATGATCAGCATCACAGAACAAGGTAAAGAGCTCCTTGGAGTCCGTTGGGCCATAGACAAGTTGATAATCAATCTAGGGTGCCTCTCAGATAGCGAAACAAATGCTTCACAGCCTTCTAGTGCGCAATCCCAGGATCCAGGATTTGAGTTAAAACGGCATAGGACAGAGACCGTGTGGGCAATGTCAGGACGAGTGGCGAGTGCAAGGAACAGTAGGGAACCGACAGCAGAGATGTAGGGAACCTTCTTCATGTACTCCTTATCCTCAGTCGATATAGGAGCCATGGAGACAGAGAGATTGGTGCCAGGGACCATGGGGGTCTTCACAGGGGTCGACTCGGCCTGTCCGTAACGCTCCAGCATGTCTAGGATGTACTGGCGCTGGGAGAGCATCAGGCGACGATGGGCACGATCCCTCGCAATCTCTATTCCAAGAAGAGCGGTGGTGGGCCCCAAATCGTGAAGCTTGAACGACCTGGAGAGCTCAACGACAAGATCATCGAGCAGGGACAAGGAATTCGACACAAAAGTGCAGTCATCTACAAAGACAGGCAGAATGACCTTGACCTGATCCTTGGCATAGACATAGATGCTATTGTCAGAGTAGATCGCCTTGAATCCCATGCGCTCCAGTACCGCCTTGAGCTTCTTGTACCACAGCCGACTCGCCTGCTTCAGCCCATACAAGCCCTTCATCAAGCGACAGACCATCTCAGGTCCTCCCTGCTCAAATCCTTCAGGCTGCTCCATGTAGACCACAGTGTCCAGATCGCCATTGATGAACGCATGGGAGATGTCGACAGAGCGCAGGTGAAAGTCCTCGAGGGCAGAGAGAGCAAGGATGGCGCGAATGGCTGCAAACTTGGCTGTGGGGGCGAATGTCTCGAAGTAATCAAACCCAGGGCGCTGACTGAAGCCCTTGGCGACGAGTCGAGCCTTGTAGCGCTCGACAGAGCCATCCATGTTGTGCTTCACCTTGAAAACCCAACGAGAACCGATCGCCTTGCAGCCCTCAGGGAGTGGAACAATGTCCTAGGTGCGATTCCGAGCATGAGCCTCCATCTCTTCCTCTGCCGCCTTCTGCCACTCATCTGCATCAGGGCGCTTCATTGCCTGACGATACATCGAGGGCTCAGCCTTTTCAGCACCAGAGGTGAACAGGGCACGCTCGACTTCAGCCAGAAATGCGTCCTCAACAATGGGTTCCATCTCTGCCTCTCCAGGAGCATCAGGGACGTCCTCAGCAATGTCAGAATGAGCATCATTGTCTGCAGGCAGCGTCCTAACCTTCCACCATTCCCCAGGAGCACGACGAGTGCGAGTGGAGCGTTGAGTAGCAGATGGACCTGGTTCAGGAGTGGCAGAGTCATTCCTAGAGCGTGTTTAGAGAGCAGGAGGTGGTGCTGGAATGACAGGAGGGAGAGCATCAGGAGGGACAATGATAGGAGCAAGAGGTGGAGGAGATGCTAGGTCTGCCACAGGATGATCCTGGTCGGTGGGAGCGTCTTCGAGGTGACCAGCAGGAGGAGGAGCATCTGCTTCCCCCCCCCCAGGACCGGCACCGGATCCACATCTGCATCCCAAAGACTGAACAGAGACGAAGGAGGAGGAGTGGCAGACTGGGTGTTAGCATCAAAGTGGCGAGTGCCAGGAAAGAATCGCTCATCAAAGTCTGCCCTTTCCGAAATGATGACCTTCCGAGTCGCAGGATTGTAGAACTTCCACGCCTTGTAGCTATCAGGGTACCCAATAAACACGCACTTCTCCATATGAGATCCAAATCCATCCCTTTTGTCCCTCTGCACATGCACATAGGCTAGGCAGCCCCAGACCCGCAAGTGCGAAACGTCCGGCTTTTTCCCATGGACCATCTCAAATGGCGTCTTGCCCTTCAGGGTAGACGTCCAGAGTCAATTCCAGACGTGCACATAAGTGGCCAGAGCCTCGCCCCAGAAAACAAGCGGCAAATGCGATTCAGAAAGCATGGTAGTGAGGGCCTCCATGATAGTGCGATTGGCACGCTCTGCCACGCCGTTCTGCTGTGGCCGATTGTGTGCCGTGTGCCTCCTAGCGATCCCATGCTCCAAACAAAACGAGTCCCAGGCATTGGACATGTACTCTCCTCCCTTGTCATCCTGCAAAGCCAAAATGCGCTGTCCAGTCAGGTTCTCCACATAGGCCTTGTAGCGCTTGAAAGCCTCAAATGCGTCGCTCTTCAAGCGCAGGACATAGACCACCTTGAGCTTGGTGAACTCATCAATGAAGGTGATCCAGTAGCGCATTCCAGAGTGAGTGGCAACAGGGAGAGGACCATGGAGATCAGAGTGGACGAGTTCAAGCGGTTTGGAGGTCACAGAGCCAGTGGAGGGGAAGGGGTGAGCGTGCATCTTGCCAGAGAGACAGGGCTCGCACACAGGGTCAGGCTGCACATCCGAATCGAGCTGTAGACCAGTAACGAGTTGTTCCTTCACCATCTTCTGCACTCCAGCATGGTGGTGGTGGCAGAGACGACGATGCCACAGGGACAAGTCAAGAGGGAGAGTAGAAGCGGCACCAGCAGACTGCAAAACAACGGTGGATGTGGTCCCTTGAAGATATGCGTTGTTGGAACCATCAGGAACGATTGCCATGAACCACACTGCACCGTCCCGGGAGAAATGCATCGAAGATCCTTCTATTAGCACAGAGAAGTGCTTGTGCTGAGTCAAATACAGCACAGACAGGAGATTACAACCGAGATCAGGGACATGCAGGACGTTTGAGAACTCCACAGACTGCGCCCTCTTGCCTCCAACGACCGGATTGAACACCACAGTCCCAACACCAGCAGAATAGATGACAGACGAGTCTGCAAGACGAATGGGGACAACAAAGGGACGATAGTTGCGAAGCCAGTGGCGATGGGGTGTCATATGAGAGGTCGCACCTGTGTCCGCATTCCAATCGAGGTCAGTGACGAGTGAGGGGGCTGTGGATGAAGGGGATGGAGCAGGGGAACGAAAACTTGCATTGCCTGCAAACTGCATGGGACCAGAGGCTTCAGGGGCCTGAACCGAGTGGGCCTGCTGTGGCTTGGACTTCTTCAGCTCCTCATTGATCCTCTTGAAGCACCTGTCATCAGTATGGCCAGTGGCACCGCAGAAGTCGCACTTGTACTGCTTCCTGGGTGGCCTAGAACGTCTGTAGGAGGTGGAGGAAGAGGTGGAGGACGAAGGAAAGGATGCCACAAGGGCCTGTGCAGAGTCTGTGGGATCAGAATGACGCGCACGATTCAAATCCTCGCGCCTGAACGCGTCCTCGAGCTTGGAGCGAGACAAGACGTCCATGAGACTGAGGGAGGAGCGGAAGGTGTCAAACTCGGAGGGAAGAGACCACAAGAGGGCCATGCAAGTGAGCTCCTCGTCCTGCTTCTTGAGATCGAAGCCAGAGTCGCGGAGGTTCTTCAAGACGCGCATAGACTCGTCGACACGATGAATGAGGGACTGGAGGGACTCATCGTTGCGCTTCTTGATCGAAAAGAGGTCCTCCATCGCGTTGAAACGCGATCCAGCAGACTTCTTATTGAACTGCTCCTCTAGTTTGGTCCAAATGGCAATGGGGTCGTCCTCAATGCCATCCAAGACGCCTCTGAACTGCTCCTCAACTGATAGTAAGAGCGCACCAGCAGCCTTCTGAGCATTCCTCTTCCACTCTGCCACCTCCCTTGGGTCAGCAGGCTTCTCCGTTGTGCCAACAGGAGCTGTCTCATCACCAGAGACTAGAAGCCACAGGCCTTTGAGACGAAGCCAGGCCTTGATCTCCTTGGACCAGGAAGGATAGTTGCGATTATTGAGAGGGGAGACAGAAGGGAGAGCGAATGAGGGGTCAGACATGGTGTGGCACGAGCGGCACAAGGAGGGAAAGGTGTTGGAAGCGATATGGGACGATGGGAAAGGCAGGGAAAGCAATGGGGAAGATGTGGCAGCAATGGGGTGTGGCCAGAAAGGAGTGGCACAGCAGAGAAGAGACCAGAAAGTGTCGATAAAGCAATGTAGAGCAAAGTCGCTAGAGGGCAGGGCCCATAACCTGTTGAGCGCAGTGACAATGAAGCGACTGGCACAGAGAGAGTGCCAAAAAGAAGCTCTATAACGACAGGACTGTGGTCCAGAGGGTAAGAGTCTGAGTAGATACAAAGAACAGAGGGGAGCGCACCTGTGGTCCAGAGGGTAAGAGTCTGAGGAAAGAATCGCCCTCGGACCACGGGTATTTAAGCTACACAGAACAATAAGAAACGAAATAGGAAGGTATGACATCAATGGGTCATTACATGTGAAACATCTTACAAAGCGGTCAAAAGCTCCACCTGGAGGTCGGTCCGGAGTGTCAATGACATCACATCGGACCGCCTCAGCCGGCTAACCCGGTGAAACAACTGAAACAAGGTGAGACAAGGTGAAAACAAGGTGAGACAGTCCATATGGAGAAAGAAAGCAATATACCCGCTCTGGGAACGGCTGTAGGGCCGCTCCCGGCTGTAGAGGCGAGTAATCAATGAGTCCCAAAGGGGGCACCCATGTGGCATCCATGCCACATCAACCAGAACGGCCAAAAACAACACTCAGACTCTTACCCTCTGGACCACAGTCCTGTCGTTATAGAGCTTATAATTTGCTTTTGGCATAGATTCTAGAGCCTAGGGTCTATAACAGAAAGGGCTAGATTATGGCAAGACAATAAGGAATGAAAAGAGAGCAATGGAATTTGGTTGAATAAAGAGGAATTTTAGTAGAAGGATAGAGAATGTTTAGGAAAGGGGCAAGGTCTAGGCCATTCTAAGCTGAAAGGAGGGGAAGGTTCTGAGCAATTCTGAAGGAAGCTAAAGGAGCATTCTACCACATTCTGAGCTTTTCTTTTGCTTTCCTTTTTGTTCCTCTGCTTTCCTCCCTATTCTTTTTATTTCTACAGCATTCCTTGTGATTCACAATGACTCTACTTAGCCTATATATACTAGAAAGAAGATTTCCACTTGAAATAGTATATAAGGAGGCTGATTGTCCTGCTTCAGGCAGAGACCATCTCTCCCTCTTACTTTTACTTAGTCAGTCAGTACTAATCAATAAGTTTTTTGAGTGGTTTCAGTTGGAGATAAGCTTCCAGACTTGTAGGGATACTAGACAAACTAGTAGCTCGCCTGTAATCTGTGTAGCACCTCAGCAACTTGTATCACAAAGTTCTTAAGCCTCTCTTCATTATTCTCAACATTTACGGAGTATTATCCTTGTTAGTAGTCCAGCACCACTTCAGAAATTTGCTAAATGGCTTAGGATATTTTCATCGTTGCCTATAACTGTGACCAACATTTGTGTACAGTGCCAATACTAGAGGGTACCATCTAGAACAGCAATCAAACTAACACTAGGTACATCTGGAAAAATAGGAAACCCTGATCATATCTAGAAGTAAAACCATTCCACACCATGACATTGGTTGGAGGCAAACAAAATTGAAGAAAGGGGTTTATATAGATGGGCATGAGTGGCCAGATGTGGTGAAATATTGTTAGAAGGTCTTTCCTTCCTACAATGGCTCAGTATGAATACTATTTAGTAAAATTTGTTGGTCCTAAGCTCACTTAAATGGAGCCAGACCTTGCACTAGGAGAAAAAGCAATCATGACTTTGATATAGAATAAGAGTTGTATGCATGCAGGTGATTTTAAGTCAAATCTCTGGTTAGTAAACCTTAACACAGTATTTGTTGTTTATGTTCATAGGCTACCTGCTGATATGCCATTTGAACCAGGATCAAAAAAGATGAAGTCAAATTAATGAAGAAAAGGGATGCCTGATCCATATTTCTGAGTTTATTGAAGAGGAAAATGGTCAACTTGCTATACAGAATAAGCATAGAAACATTATTTGTGAGTCTCGCAAGATTATCTATCCTGGTGGTTCAAGCAATACTGCCTACTGGGACCACGATTAGCTCCTTGAACAAGTGGAGGATACTCTTGATGTTCTTGTTAAGGCTTATCCAACCTGCACTAGTCTCTTTATTTTTAATCAGTTATTTGCTTATGCCACCCTTAGTTCTAATGCTATCTGGCCATTTCCAATAAATAAAACAAATAGTGGCAAGCAGCCCTTTCAGTACAACACCATCATTCTAGATACTAACCCTGTTGAGGCAAAGCATGGTCAACTTCAGTCTATAAAGACTACTTCTGGAGAATAGAAGGGATTGAAGAATACACTCAAGGAGCATGGATTTGATGTCTTTGGCATACATACCAAATATGTGCCTGTCTGTCCAGTTGAGAATAAGTGCTATTACATAGTGTATCTTCTCAGTAACTAGGCCAATATTAAGAATCAGGTTTCATTACTCAAACAGATGATTGTTACTCATGGTTATTTCTATATCTTCCTCCTGAAGTTTTATTGTGAGCTAAACCTAATTGAGATGGTCAGTTGAATTTTCTTTCATAGCTGTTTCATATTCTTAGTCTTATTGATAATCTATTCAGTATTAGAGACGGGCTAAGTACAGGTTCCATGGAGTTCACAAGGGAAAGTTTGAGGATATAAAAATTCATGCAAAAGAATGTCTCAATGCGTATCCCATGGAGGTCATTCAGTGGTTCTTTAATCATTCATGGAGGTTTATGGATGTGTACAGAAAGGGTTTAACTGGAAAGGCCATAGAGTAGGCCATTTAGAAATAGAAGAGTCACCATACCATTTCGTAGCATGCAATGATGAACTGGGAGTCTATATTGAACTAACTGGGC